ACTTCGGAGCTGAAAGGAATTGGGCAGACTACAAAAGGAGAAAACTGCAGGGGGTCTGGGACCAGTGGTGGTTGAGAGGTAGAATTCTTGCCTGCGGCAAAGGAAGCCGTCCCGTGGATCCAGCTGTTGTTTAGTCTTCAAGTGTATGTGTGGCACTTTGTACGCGGCTATCATGGTTCCTGAGAGCTGTGTGTGACAGTGGCCATTAGCGTGCTCATGAAGCGTCTGAAGTTGGATGTCATCCGTGCCATCTGACATCTCCTATCTCCCTCTCCTCAGGTCTGCAATAAAATCATCTTTCTAATGAGCTTCGTGGGCAACTGTGGAACATTCACCAGAGGATACCGAGCCATGATCCTTGATGTTGAGTTCCTTTATCACTTGCTCTATCTGCTCATCTGCGCCATGGGGCTCTTTGTCCATGAATTCTTCTACAGCTTGCTGGTGGGTACCTGAGATTGCTTGCTGAATACGGTCCTCTCTGTCATAATAGACCCTTCCTTTCCATGGTGAATGGGATGCCTGGTCTAGTGCGGTCAGAGCCCCATTGCAGGCAGTGTGTTAGGGTTATGGCCAGGAAGACTGCACGGGGTCCAAGTCAGCCACCATGCCCCTGGAGGTGCACTCCCATCCTGTACACCGCACTGGCTGCTGAAGCAGGTGGTCTACATTTCTGTGATGGAAGATACCTGCAGTCTGCTCTGGGAGATGTTTCCTCCACAGGAACCTATTTCTTGGGCACTGATCCACCAGCACTTGCCAAAGAGAATACTTCTGAGACGGTTCTCACAGGATTCATTTCTCAGGAGAAAATGTCGTGACCATCCCGGGGGAACAAATGTCAAAACTTTGTGATCTTGATGGTGAAGTGGGCTGATAGATCCAGCAGACGTATTCACCATGATTTGAGCCAAGTGGTTAATATTTTGAGTGTCTAAACAAGTACTTGGCTCTGTCACCTTCCTACAGAGCAGGTTTTTAAAGTTCGCATCAAAGATCTGCTTGCTCTGCTGTTTGAGAGGGAATGTAGACCGCGTGGCCTGTGGCTCAGAAGCCATTGCCTGAGTAAAATGGCAGAGGGCAAAAACTTGACTGATCTTCAAGCCATCTTAACATAGACTAGAAATGCTTTAATGTTTGCAAATATGGAGAATGAGCACATCTCACGTGTTGGCCTTAAAGGGGGATTATCTTCTCCACAAAAGGCAACAGAAGGAAAGTTCTTCTAAAGAGGTGCTATGCATGTGGTTTCTGGGCTAGTTAATTAACTGCTCTGTGCTTCTGTTTCCTCAGCTACACAATGAGGGCAGAGCAATGAATCTCCCTCCCGGGCTAATACAGGGATGATGCATGGCCGTGCATGTTGAGGGCCTAGCATACTGGCTCAGTGCTTGCTACATTGGTCATCCCCTATTCTATTTCCCATCTGCAACATAATATAGAATTCATCAATCAGATGATCAGGATGAGCTCACTCCACAGGCGGTGGAAGTTAGCGGGCTAAGAGGACTAGATTTTAAAAAATTGTTATTAATAAATCATTTTATTTGTGGCTCTTATAGCTCTAATAACAATCCATACATCAATTGTATCAAGCACATTTGTACATATGTGACCATCATAATTTTCAAAACATTTTCTTTCTAGTTGAGCCCTTGGTATCAGCCCTTCTTTTTTCCCTCCCTTCCCCACCCTCCCATCCTCGTGATCCCTTGATAAATTATAAATTATTACTAATTTCATATCTTACACTGTCTGCTGTCTCCCTTCACC